AAGCAAAGTGTGGTACAGTATGGTCATATGTCTGCCAGTATTTTTGGCAGTCTGGATTATAGAAAGATCATAGCACAGACAAGGCTTTTGGTAAGTCTTGAGTGTAATGAAGGGTAAGCTGGAAATATAACTTTTTCATTTAGTAAATGGTACTGTAAAATTGGCCAGTCCCTTAAGATCTTTTTGATGAGTGGAGTTTACAGAAATAATTTGAAGGAAAAAAATTCTGAAATCTAATATATGTGATAATGGAGAAATAAAAGCTGTAATGGTACATTTAGAATGTATGTTTTTATTACTCTAGGTTTATTTCTGACATAACTTGTTTTAGTAAGCCACTTGAATGATCTTGGTGGCTATGAAGTTTTAATAGCTAACACTTGGAAAGCCTTGTAGTTTAAACAAATGTCAACTTCAAAATCACATTCCTTCCTTAAGAAACTATCACAATTTTATTTTATTAAACAAGAAACCAAAAAAACACAACATGTGAGAGACTATTAGGAGGTAAAGTTGTGGAAGTTCCTATAAAGTGGTGACTTTTTTCTAGATGGGGTCTTACTATTGTGTCACAAAATTTTTGCTATATAAAGTATTTAATCTTCCTCCTTTATAAAGCTCTTGAGCTCTCACTTCAGAGCACTAGTCCTTTGCCTTGTGCAGGACTTGAAAGAAACCCATGTTTTATTATAGTTGATTAAAAGAAAAAAGAATGAAAGCGAAACACAGGCCCTAATGTTAGTTCTTATCTGGGGAAACAAGCTAATAGAAAAGAGAGATTTTTGGAAAACCTAGGGTTTGTATCTGTACTTGTGTTTCAGATCTTTCTTTCATGACTATAAGCATTCTCAGAGTGCCTTTCTACAACTGATAACCTTTGGAAAACCGGAGACTATTGGGAAAAACAGTATTGGAGATGGAGATGATAGTTTCTTATGCTTTGAATAGAGGATTTTTGTTTTTTAGGATCTACCCCAGAAGTTTCTGCAAACACATTGAACTGCATTAAAAAAACAAAACAAAACCAAGAAAACAAACAAAAAAACCCTACACCAAAACCCAAACAAACAAACAAACAAAAGTTTTACTAGTTCTGGTCCCAAGTCAGTATTCTCAAAAGTGTAAAAACTGCAGTGGGGAGCTACCAAAACTTTTTAAAATGAAGAAATGGCCAACGTTTTAAGAACTTCTGATGAAAGAGTTGAGGCAGAGGCGTTGTTATAGGCTGGGAGTGGAGATGATGTTCCAAAGCTGCTGTGCCTTCCTTTTGCAGCCTCACCTCCAGCAGGGTGTTGTTCCCTCCTGTAGCCCCAGTGAGATTATTTGTCAGATCTAGACATGAGATAGGTAAAATTCAGCCTGGGTAAGATGTTCAGCTTCCTTTTAGTTCTCTTTGCTGTAAGGTTGCTGGGGGTGGAGGGGAGTGAAAATGAAGAACATTTTCAATCTGTCTTTATGGAAATAATACGATTGATGTGATGAAATGAAGGGAAAATTAGATGTAACTCTAGGTCACTGTAACATGAGTCAGAAAATGCAGTTATTTGGCAGGGAATAGTGTATATGAGTACATAGAATTATTTTTACTGATTTTGCTGTTTTATCTGGATAAATATCTAAGAATAATAAGTTACAACACTGAGATATTTCAGGTTTGTTTGAGTTACCTTCTTTCATATATCCTTTTCATAGCATGATTTATCTTTTGCTTCATTCTACATACTGCTGATTGTAAGGTGTAAATAAGTAATCAGTGGCTGAAAACAAGGTAGCTTGCATCCCCTCTGAGGTTGGGAATATGTCTGTTAGATGTTTCAAAAGATCTTTTCTGAAAAAAAAAGATATCAATTTTAGGGAATAATGAAATGGACTTTTCCAGAATAGTGAGATACAGTCATAGTTTTTGGAAGGCTAGTTTTAATATAGTATTTATTTTAACTGCTTATCAGACTGTGCTCTTGTTTTGTAACTAAGAACTAAGATCCTTAAATGTTTCATAGGCACTGCCGTATCTGTCCATGTCTCAGTCTGATGTGACTGACTTTTTACACCTATATGAGATGCTACTCAAGACCCAGAGAGATTACTTGGTGTAGTGAAGCTGACATTTCCCCAAAATTCAGGAGAAATGCAGGGCAGCAAACCGGGTTGTCTTTTTAGGGGTGAATGCTACTTGCATGGACTTTAGTCTCCCTGGTGTTAACAGGGGCAGTTTCTTCAATGAATTCTTCATTGCGTTTTATGCCAAGCACTGGGGGAGGGAAAACCGCACTTTTGCTTAATGTTTTCAGTGGTTTTATGTGTTAGAAATTGTTGTGACATTGCAGCCCTAAATTTGTTGTCAGAACTAATTTCATTAATCTTTGTGTGATTTCAGTAAATTTAGTTTTTATAATATATTGTTTCAACCGAGACAGTGATCTGTAAACTGGAAAATAGCTATTGTCTTCTGACTTGTTTGATGAGGAAACTAAGTGAGAATTTGATGTTGGAAACACTAAAATCTTCATAAGCCTTTATAGCCTAGGTATTGAACTTCTGTCTTACAATTAAGAGAGAAATGAAACCTTTTGAGAATGGTATTGACACCCTGCAGGGAAAAGTGCCAGCTGCAAAAATTTTTACATTGTCATGCTTCTTAGTTAGAAAATGTCATTAAGTCCCATCTTTTCCTTATACCAGTTGATTTGAAAATAACAAACCATGTGTGTGTAACGTAACTGCATTTTGGCCTGTGACTTTGATGTGTCTTAGCTGTGTTTCTGTTACTTCTGCTCTGTGACATACAATGTGTCACTTGTATTGCCATGAAAAAACTTAGGAAAAAAAATTTATACTGATTGAGACATTCCAATTATTAATATTCCACTGGATGAATTTCACAGTCAATCATCTCATTAATAGACCTCTCTATGACTAACAAATGAGCAGAATCTGTTAAGATCTTCAAGAAGTTCATTGCACACTCTAAAATTGGGCATTAGTGCTTCTGATCTTCATTGCAGTTATCAGTCAGGTGTAATAGCTCCAGTAACACTCATAGCAGCCTACAAAATGAGTATTTGCAGAGGTTTTCTCCTTTTTGAAGGCCAGAAGTTTCTGAAGCAGTGCACAGTGCATGATAACATTATAGGGATGGTGCACGTAAGATGGTTTTTCATGTATTGGCCCCACTAATGTATATATAGCAATCACATTTTTTTTTAAGTGTAAGAAACATAATCTTGATAGCTGAATAAACTGCTACACTGTTAATAATTTTTAAAATGTAAAAATTGGATATAGAAAAATTCTGCCTAAGGTCCCTTATATCTTCAACTAAAGGCAATTTAAAAAATTTTGTTTAGGTGTTTATATGTTTGAAGAGCCAATAAACAATGCTTATGTAACAGTACTTAGATTTACACATCAGCCAGCTGGTGTAGCCAGATCTTCAGTTTTTCTGTTTCCTTTTTTTTTTTTTTTTTTACTTTTTGGAGGTATTTGTGAGTAGCTTGATGTTTTTGACATCTGTGTGACAGCTTCTTGCATAAGAGATGAGCAGCATGTTATACCACCCAGCTGTGTGTATTAGTCTGCACATCAAGCTGAAGAGCGGCACTTAGCCAGATCTGACAATCAAATGTGAACTAGTACTACCTGTACACAGGAGTGCATTTTAATGTTCTGTGCTTTTTGCCAAGAGGCTGGTACTTGACAAAGAAATTGTCAGAATTTCTCTTCTTCCCACCTTTATTTTTTCGCTTCCCAGAGATGTGAGTCCATATTGAGTTACATTTTTTTTTTCCCCTGCAGTTTAATGTGATTGATCTTACAGATAATAAAGCCAATCTAATGTTTTCAGTGATTCCATGTAATAAAATTTTGGCAAACTTTTAGTAATAGACAAGTGTAACTGTTTCAGGATACGCAACAAATCAGCATGTCATTCTCTGCCAACTTAATCTGAAGTCACAATATCCTTGGTTTAACCAATGACTTCATGGCCATAACATGCCAACAAGCTGTCCCCAAAGCAAACTGGGGACATGGAGGAATTACAGTGCCAGTTCAGGAATGTCAGTGCTGTTCTCAGGCTCGTTAAGAGTCGATGCTCAGCACATTGAGAGTGTGGAGAAGAGTAAGAGAGAGGCACCCGCTCTTATTTTAGTTGGAGTGATCTGTAAACCTCCAAAACCTTTACACTTCCTCATGATTTTAAACCTCTGTCATCTTCCTTAATGCTTAAATTTGAATAAATGGAATTAATTGTCACAGAATACACAATTGTACTCTTAATAGTTCAGCTTTCCTTGTTTATGTGTTTGCTGTAAGCCAGGAGTTAGTTACCACATGCAATATTGTTCTCTTCCTTTTTTAAATAAGATTGCCAGAATAGGGAAGATTGTTTTGACCTATTTATGCAACCCAAGATGACGATGAAGAGGGAAATATAGAAGAAAAAGGAATTTTTTTATTTGATAATTAATTCTCTTGTCTATGGAATGCTCCATTTGCATCTAGGTGATGAAATATGTAATTTCCATATAACTTGGTTTCATGAAAGTGCTAGTGATACCTTTTTTTAACTTATTCTGTGTTTCCCTTTGTATTACACCCTTACCATTCTTGTAAAAGCTGTATTCCATTTCCATCTGGTCTTGCTCTTACAACATATGCGTAAGAAATTCATGTCTAGTTATAAAGTAGGCACAGTTTTGAAGAGCATGAGACTGACATGGATTTTGGTCAGTGTAATAAGGACTGATTACCTGAAAAAGAATTTAAGAGTAAAAGTTCTCATGTGCTCAGAGACTACCTAACTTCAATTACTGCTTTGTAAGCAGAGAAGTTCCATCATTTTTTTAATCCGTTTTTTCTTATTTAATGTTCCAGAATTGAAGGTAACGAGAAATAGTTGCACCAGTTTTTGTCATTTTAATAGAACTGATTTTATACTTCTCTGTTTATATCTTGGTTTTTGTCTAATTTTCTGTTTCAATTTTATCCCTCCAAAACAGAAAAAAAAACTTCTTGAAGAAATTGGAGAGAATAGACTTCCATATATGACTCCAGCCGATGACGATTTCCATCAGTTGGTAATGTATTTCTTCTAACTTGTTTTAAACTAAAATGACTGTTTGGACTGAACAACCAATAAATCTTTCTTCAAAGACACACTGTGAAGTCTGATATGGAAAAAAGTGTCCTGATGGCTGATAATGGACTTCCAGGTGGTGTGAAATAAGATCTCTAGAACTGAGATATTCGCAAATGAGAACTTAGTGAACTCAATTTATTTTTAGGGGTGTGCCCTGAGTACCAGGTAACATGTGTAACAATCAGAGTATCTCGTGCTTTGTTGAAATAAAATGCATCTCATAATTCTTTCATTTTTTTTTAATCTGGGCTGTGAAGAGACCTATTCTTTATAGCTTATGTTTGGCAAAACAGGGAGAATATTAACATAGAAATTAAAATTTTTTGGGACTTAATTTTACTTTCAAACAATAAGTAACCATTGAAACTTTGCTTACAAAACAAACTATGGAAACTGGAATGCCTCAAATGAAACCAAACAAAAGTAAGATCAGGCCCAGTAGACACATGAATAGTAAACCAAATGAGTGTATGGAAAAATATGATGAATTAATAGAATTTTCTGCATCTGTCTTGGATCTTTATCAGCTGTAAAACACAGGATAGGTTCAATCAGATAAAATTGGAACACTGTAAGATGAAAAGCATAAGAAATAATCTCATAGTTTGAACAGCTACAGCAAGTGTGCTTACATTACAGGTGTGTTGTCTGTCTTCTAGTGATATATGGCTCAAAGATGTAGAAGTGTGGAAGAGCTGGAAAAATTTATAAGAGCTAAACAGATGGATTTTATTAATTTTTTTTTATTTACAAAAACCTCAAACACGTTCTTTTTAGTCTTAAACTAAAGTTCATGAAGAAATTCTTCCCCTTTTAAGACTCAGGGAGCTGATTTTTCTCTTTCCTTGTCCAGTTACATCCCCTTTTCTTTGTTCTCTTCTTCTGTCTCTGTTGCTGCCAAGAGCTGCTTTGCCCAGCATCTTTTTCTTTTCCTATCTTTGTAAATCCACATTCTCTTGGAGCTGATGTGAAAAGAGAAGGTGGAGCCAAGGTTTGCTCAGTAAGAGTAACCCACAAATATAGAAGACAATAGGAACAAGATAAGCAGTGAGATCAGACCTGTTCAAGCCTTAATAAAGTTTAGATACACTGTTTTTGCAAATATAGAATTATACTTTTTATGTAGTATATGTGTGCATGCTAGGTTTTTTAAGTATACATGATAAGCATCACAAGCACCTTTTAAATTCTGTGGTGATTATGAAATGTTACTTGAATCACAGCTGTAGAAATTACAAGTTCCATGATGCTTAAATGCAGTACAGATGGGAGGAAAAGAAGGGTGAGAGCTTGAAGACAACAAATTGCACAGTGAAATATCACATGCACTTTAGTTTTACAGACTGTCTTTCCTGGACAGACCTGCTGTACTCCTTTAAGGATCCACCTCAGATAAAGCAGCATTCTTTGAACATGTTGGAAAGGTTAGGTAGGATGCAAGTAGAAAAACTGCCAGATCCTGTCAGATATGGAAGTGCACAACCTGAACAGAAGTAAGAAATTCCATCATAAGCAAAACTTCACTGACATCCTCTTTCAGTGTATCTTGCTCAATGAAGGATTTTAGAAATGGGCCCCAAGCCATAGGCTGAAAAAATGGAATGTTTAAAGTGAGTTCAGAGCAAGAAAAAGGCTTTTAATGAGGTAATTCACAAGTATTTGTTCATGATAGTACAAACGATCATTTCACGATGTATGTGGCAGTTTTCTTATCAAGGGTCCGTATTGCTAATTTCTAACTTTATTCTGTCACTTGGGTCCATAGGGTGGATTTGTGTGTTGAGTATCACCATCATAAGGGAAAGCATCTATATATTTAAAATCTTGTGTGTAACATTAAATGCAGATTTGACCATCAAATGTGCTTTTTTATTTTTTTGATCCTGTAGTTGCCAGCAATCTGCCTACTTCTTTCAGAGTGAACAGTGAATTGACCTTTAATACTTGCTGTCAGAGTTACAACACAGAGGACATGATTACTCCCCCTTCCCCATCCCCCCGAAACAACAAGGTGTCCGGTGTGAACCCAGCATTCACCCTGGATCTGATCCCTTAATGTTTTCCTTATGTAGGGCATAGCACAGTCACTGGCTGGAGATTTAAAGAAGACCAATCTGTTTCCATGTGATGTGTCGGAAATGTGTTTCCACTTCCTGCTCTCTTTGGAGATGTCAGTGTGTTTTTTTTTTTTCTTTTTAAGGTAGCACTCTAAGTGTACAGTGTGAAACTTCATGATAAATAGTTCTTAAGGGTGTGATCTTAAAACACAATCCAAAGGTAACATCCCTCTGACTTGGCTGGCAACAAAATGTGCAAGGCATTACCTCTGCATCTGGGGGGGGAATACAATGTTGTTACCTTTGTAAAATCTGTGTGTTTCCTTTCTAGTGCATGTTTTCAGGCACTTAATTGCTTTACATCATATTCTTATTTCCCTTCTTCTGTTTCTAATAGTTGTTTGTAATTTCATGGGTGAGACTCATGTCAGAAATTCAGTCTCTTTGTATTTTCATATAAATGATTTAAAAATATGTAGTATTAATGACTGTTTAAATATACCACAGTAGCATTTGTTATTTGGTAATTGGTTAATGTGACCTGAGCATGTCCAGTGTACAGAATTCTTTAAAGAAATACTGGGATACTGCTATAGAACTGTTAGTGCTCTTTCTTTTATATGTGGCATTTGCATAGTGAAAGAAATAATGCAGGAATAACTTTTGTATGTCACAACATATAATGTTCTGTCATTATTAAGTATGATTGTGAAAAGGTATTTATGATTCCCATCAACCTGTACCCACACACCTGACTGCAGACTGTAGCTGTAAGTCTGAAATGTGCAGTTACTGATTTCAGAAGTTGTTGTTCATAAGGATTTTTTCGTTGTACCATTCAAAGGCTGCAGATACACAGCTCTGACTGAAATAATGGGACAGTTCAGGACCTCTAAAGGAATCATTTCGAGCTTTTGACAAGCTCAGCTGAATTGCTTTTGTGAAGTTTAGAGTCAATTCATTGAATGAAAGCTGGGATCCAGTGTTCTGTGTGGGGATTGTAGAGGGACCTTCATAAAGGTATCTGGAACTGTTTTCAAGTTTGGTGTTTGAAGTTAAGGATGTAAATACAATTGTCAGATCTTATTATTATCTGTAGATACAGTTTCAGGTTTTTTCCCCTCTCTCAAGGAAGCTAGTTTTTGGAAACTGTCAATGTGCAGAGAGGGGAGTTACCTTCGCTGTAAAGATTTCACAAGAAATGGTGGCAAGGGTTACAGACAAACTAAGATTTATTATGTGTACTTATTATTTTTTAAATAGGCTTCCTTTTATGTTCCATTTTTTAGTAGAAACAAATGATCCTATAAAGCCAGCTCCTCAGTGTTGTAGGATAACAGTGTGTTATGATGCAAAACTGTAACTGTTTTCATGCAGCACAAAATGTGCATACTGACTTATTGCCTGGTTTGTGTTTTTTAAAGGCACGTTCTTTGGATTTTAAAATTAATTTCCTGAAAGGAAATTCTCAAATGAGACTTGGAAGTAGATAGTACTAATAAAGTACTTTTGAGTTATACCAGAAGGAACCCACAGATGGACTGTATGCCATTGTGATGCTTTGTGACGGTGACTTCTATTTGTATTTTTAAAAGCAGTTTGAACGGAAGATATTAGGTCAGTAAAAGTTTTGATGGATCAGTTTTGTGCATCCATGTGCTCTTGCCTCATTGTGTAATGCCTTCAGATTTCAATTTACCTTAACATTTTTCCCCACACCACCACTGGTCTCTGCCTTTTCCCCAGTCTAGTGACTAATTTCTGGACAGAAGGAGATAGGTGTGGTGGAGTCCTTTGGAGCTTCATACTTGCTAATTGATACTTGATATGCTCACATTGCAGCCTTTCCCTTACTGAAGGCACTAGTTTGCATCTATTTCTTTTATTTATCTATTAATTTTAATGAAATACATAAGAACTCACTCCTTTTAAGAACTTGTTCTCTAACATTTGTCCATTTACCAAACAGTCTCAGCAGTAGTTAAAGCAGATTTACAGGCAGCCAATAAAAGGTGTGATTGTGTGATACTCGCTTCCTTAGAAATCCAGATTAACAAAATAAAATTATCCAAGCCTTCCTGGCGTGGGAAGCAGTATTGTGCATGCAAAGCAAGACACTGCTGATTAGCAGCGTTATACCTTGCTGGGAATTGTTGCCTCCAAACACTGCTGGACTCTGAACTCCAGCTGGTACAGAGCTGCTATGGTCAGAAGAGGATATGAGGAAAAAGGATATTACAGGTAGGGAGCTGGGGAGGAAAATAAGTTTGGAAATTTTCTGTTATCTAAAAGGGTAACTTCTGTATAAAATAGGAAGGCTAATTGGCAGGCACTGAGGAATGTGAAAACAAAAAGGACCAGTGTGTTGAGGACTGTTTTGAAGATAGACATGCAGTGCATTTTTTAAAAATTTCCATTTGCATTTTGTTACGTTTTTCTTAAGAAGTATTGTTATATAAAATGATTTGATTTTATCATGTAGCCCTCTAGAATTCTGTACATCAGAATGAAACAATATGGTCTTTGCAACCATTGCAAAAAGAAGAGTTGTTTTCTTACTGCTTGATATTCTATTGTTTGTATATGTAAAGGTAACATTAACTATAAGTTCATCAGGTGAGCTTATATGTTCTACTGATTGCTACCAGAATCCTCTGATTGATTGATTGATTGATTGATTGATAGATTTGTCCTAGTAATACTCTCTGGTTACAGGCCACTGGTACATATCCACAGTTTGTGCAATATATTGATATATAAAAATAAAGTAACAAATACTGGCATCTGTTTCTTCACTATATTCTAGACTCATGCATGATAACTTGGCAAGTTAGCCTTGTCTCTTCTTCAGTATATGAAATATTTTGATTCCTGTAAAAAGAGTAATTATTTTCTATTGTTTAGTGGTTTTGTCTTTTTCTTCTTTAGTGGAAAACCAAATATTCCAAGCTGATTTTCCGAAAATCTGAGACAGTACCTGAAGAGCTCCATCAAATGGTGCAAAAAGGCTTTCTGACCTTGCGAGAACACGATTGTTTCTTTCAAGATCTTGTAAGGATCAAAGGAAAAGATTTCCTTACTCCAGTGTCTCGTATATTAATTGGAAACCCAGGATGCACTTACAAGTACTTGAATACAAGATTGTTTACAGTTCCTTGGCCTACTGAAGGTTATGATATAAAATATTGCAGTCCTCAGATACATGATGCTTGTAAAGCATTAATCAGACTTAATGACTACTTGCATATTGAAGCAGTCAAGACATTACAAGGACAAAATTTATGTGAGACCAAAGAAGTTAAAGATACCACTGTAATAGATAGGGAGCAAAGTTTTGCTACTTCTCTTACGGAGCAAGGGCCTGTTTCAAAAGATCAAAGCGGTGTTTGTGGACCAGGGGATGACTCCATAAGTCTAAAGAACAGAACATCTTATAACCTGACTTTATTAAATTATATGGATCCACTACAAATGCTGTACTTGAAACAAGAACCTTATTTTGGAATGGGGAACATGGCAGTGAGCTGGCACCACGACGAGAATCTGGTTGAAAGGTCAACGGTTGCTGTGTACAGTTACAGCTGCGAAGGTGAGTGATGGGAGCTGACCAGTCATATAAATATCTTAAATCCCTCAACCCCTTTTCTCTTTCCTTGTGTGTATGTGCATAAACACACCTGCATACCAGTCCAGGCTTGTTACGTGCTTCAGAAATGCGTTGTGGTACCTTTTGTATTTAACCTTTATCTTTACTTTTACTAAAACTTGTACAAAATATACCTGTGTTTACTGGCTTAGCAGTTGTTCTCCAAGTAGCTTTAAAGATTGGTGTAATTCCTGACTAAGAGCCAGGAAATCAAAATCTGTCAAATTCCTTTTTCAGGTTAATGCATGAGCATGTTTTCTATCCTATAAAATGTTTCACTGTAGTTGAGATCACCATTTTAATGGTGTTATTTATCATATACAGACTTGCTTCTACTTTATGCTGTTTTTACTACTCTTCCCTCTTTGGAAAGATCATTTTTAGTTGGTTTTGGATAAAAGTATTACTATATTTATTTTGAAATATATGCATTTTGTCTAGGCATGCTGTAGTGTTAGTGCATGTTTTATGAAGGACTTGCCAACATTTCTGTAGTTGGGGAGGGTGGACATTTTCTGTTAAAAGAACTGTTATCTGACAAGCTTTGGATCTTTTTTAATGACTCCCAGTTTTGCAGAGCATAAGATTAGAATTTAGACCCTTGATTTGAAACCTGTTATGTTTCATAACTCACAATGGATGTTTTGTTCTTCCAAAAATCCTTTGATGTTTGCTTTAGAACATGGGAAGAGTTCACGTTGACTTTGGTAGGTTTTGGCTAAAGATTGTGATGTAAAAATGATAGTTTATACTTTCATGTGCATTCTCTTATTGGGTTTGTTACCAGTTATGACACTATGGATCACTTTGTTAATGTACAGCAGAAGTCATATTGTTTACATTTTCCTGGACATAAAATATCAACTAGGGTAGGAAACTGAATAAAAGGGATTTCCTGACAAGGAGAAGTGTAATTTTCTTCATAAACTTTTTTCTGTGCTATTTGTCAAAGGCTTTGGTATTTTATGTCCAGTAAATACATTGGGGTTTTTTCCAGTAATACTGTAGATAAATATTTTTAAGTTAAAGAAACTTAAACATGAACTTAAAATAATAAGACTGTGTATGAGGATTTATTGTAATATGCTTAAAAACTTTTTACTTTAACATAAAATTTGCTTGTGGAGGGGAAAAAAGTGAGTCCTGTTAAGTTCAGAGAGCTATAAATTAACAAATATGAAAGCTGCTGTGTTTATTCATAACTCATCAGTTGATTTTGTTTCTTCTATTCAGCAAGTTAAATAGGTAAAAATTATGGTGTTTTAAAACCACTGCAAATTCCATTGAAGATTTGATTGATGGGGGTATAAAGAAATATTTTATACATTTAGACCAAAAATTATTTTGGTATCTATGCACAGTTAATGTTTTTGCCACGTTCAAGACTTTTTCCTAAATACACTTACACTTAGAAGTTAGTAATTTTTTCTGGAGGGTTTGAGAATAGACATGAAAGCAAAGAAACTAAGAGTGTTCCAGTGAATAAATTGATTTAGATTTACCAAAAAAATATTAAAATTACAACTTAATTTTTTCTTGTTTTGCTCCAATTGAAATTTGATTATGTATGGGGGACGGGGTTTGGAGGAGTCCCTTGGCAGGAGGTGACAATATTAAAACCTCAGTGTAACTGGAGATAGTGTAAAAGATGTTTATTTGGGAAGAAAATTGTTTATCAAGTCAGATCTGAACAAGATTAAATTCCACTTCTGGCCCTTGAGCATGGCTCAGGTTGGGTTCTTGAACTTGAGAGGGAGTTTGAGGTGCCTGGCGTGGCTGCTGAGCCTCACGAAGGAATGTCCTGCAGTGTCACTTTGTGTGTAAACAGTTCACTCATCTGTCTGTGTTCAGGCAGTGCTTGTCACTGAATATCCCTGAAGCAGTGACCTGCTTATTTGTAAATTGGAGGAAATGGATCCTGTTTATAGCTTATGAGAATGGCTTTGTAATTGAAATGACTGTAAATACTCGTGTGTGCTGAAATTTTATACCCAGCACATCCAAGAGGAGTGGCCAGTCTACTTGATTTTAGAGAAATAAATGGATTGTCTTTTTTTTTTTTCCTCTTCTGATTTCCTGTTTACAGATTTCCAATGCTGGTGATTATAAGCTTATCAGTATTTATAATATTATTCTTTCCAGTCCCATATCACTTCAGTGTGGAGATGGTTTCTGCAGTTCACAGACTTTCAGTATTTCCCATATGTCTTACGTAGCTCTCCATAACTGTAAAGCAAGAGCAATCTCAACATCTTTTTGAAAATTGTTGTGATATCTGAGTAGAATCATGTCTTGACTTCTCTTATTATTTTCCATAAATATATTTAATTTTTGTGCCAATATCTTTGATTAGTACATACTCCATGAATTCCTTCAGTATCTAGTTAGCATTGAATTTTCACTGTAGTGTATAATGACTATGACAGAATCATTACAGAATATATAATAAAAAGAGAAAATGCGGTCAGAGTTTTTCTGATGGAACGATTTTTCCTTAGAAGATGTAGCCTAGATGGATTAGTAATTTTCTAGGAGAAAACACTGATTCTGTGGGAAATTAAGCACGTTTATTTTTGTTGAAACCAGCTGAATTCTCTTTTCTTCTAGGTCTTGCCCAGTTTTTTTGTCAGCTCTCAATTCCTCAAATTCTCAGTGGTCTCTGAGGTACTCCCTGCACTGGGGATCTGTGGCAGCCTTTAGCACGTGGAAGCTCAGGCTTCCAGAGCTTCATGGCCAGTGCTGACCTACCCTGCTGCCAGTGCAGAATCCCCAGGTTGTCAGATTTTGAACAGCAGGAGCCCTAGGAGTCAAACTGCCTTACTGTGTTATGGCAGCTCTTTGTCAGACTGTTTAGAGATGCACAACTCAGGTTATATGGTTTTCTTTTTACTTTAATTTGTATTTTTGTATCGTTATTTGTTAGGTACCTACTTATTTGATTAAATAGTGTTAAAACAAATACTACTGTAATTGAAACCACTTATGTTTTTGTTCATTTGTTTACTGTTTGATACCATAATGAAAATTTAATGTTTGAAACTTTGATCAGTATTAATTGGAGTAGAATCAGTTTTTAATATGCTGAAAAACATATTTAGGCACCAACATAAAGGTATTGGAACAAGCTGATATTCTAATTGGTATCTATTTATTTTCTTGTTTCCTTTGTCAAATTGTTTCAAAGCAACCTCAAATGAGTTACATTTCTAACAACAAAACAAGGTAAACATTTTGCTTGATGCTCGTCTGAATAGTATTTGCTTTTATTTACAATACACTAGGTTAAGAATAGGTTGTCAAGTGATAAGAACAGACCCTCATAAAAATTTGAGAGGTTTCCTTTTAGTGTGTGTGCTGCATGAAAATGCATGAGTGGCAGTCCTGGTGCATATGCAGAGATGAATAGGTTGCAGAATGTGTATTCAGTTGTACTGTCACTAAAAATATTCAGAATTAATTTACTTTTCAGAATTTAGTAAGGAACAGGAATTTCAAATTTTGACCAATTCAGCATTTTCAAAAACACATTAGTTTACAAATATCACCTGAGAGCATTAAGGTAAAAACTTATTCAGGATTTTAATATAGTAAGCTAATAACTCATTTTTATTTCCTGCTGCAGTTATAAAAGTGAATTGCAATCCAGTAGAATAAGGGCATTTTCAAAAATTGGATTTTATCCATGAAAATTTCCTAATGACAAACTTTCCCTCAGGTCATTTTAAGTTTTGCAGGAAGTTTTATTACTTAACAGAGCACTAGTTGGTTCTAAAGATGGTCTTTGAAGTAAAGACTTGTTTCAGTTACTAACTTACAGGAGATGGAGAAGAATGTGATCACTTGGAGTGTGTCCATCTTTCTGTTACCTGGATTTCCCACAGACTGTGGTGGAGGTTGGATAAGTACCTTTGTCTGGATTCTTTACCATATCTAGTTTATCTTCTTACTGTAAGGCCTGTTTGCTGTTTACCCGTTGAACTTCTGAATAACTGGCACTGCTGGTTGACAAGGTGATGTTGAAAGGTTTAACAAACTCACGGTTGGTTGCAGTGAATTCTGATCTTGAAGGAGCTTTTATGCTTCTTTCTTTTGCACACTCTTCCTTTGTATTTTTTCACTCTATGATGTTAGAAGCAGTGTCCTAGCACTAAACCTAATAATGGCAGTTCCATTGAACTGTGAAAAAAGATAATTTAGATTCACTACAGATGCATGTTTCCTCACTATCTTAGAAAAAAAAAATCCTAAAACTACAAAAGTTGTTCGAAATTGAAGTCAATTTTAACTTTGTAGTTGACCAATAACTCTCTTTATGTACTGCTTAATGGATAAAAGTCTCGGAGTAGACATTTTTGCAGGGTGAGAGCAATTATATGAAGTGATTTCTAACATCAATAATATAATAGAAATATTGCTTGTTGAAATAATAGAAATGGTATGTAGGAAATTATATATTACTTCTTAAGAAATGAATATGTGTGTGACATGGTCATATCTCTAACTTGTAGTTTTTGGCCAGCTGGAATTACATTCTGAGAATCACAAATTTTTAACGATCCAATTACTTTCACAGTAATAGATTTGTATCCCTTGAATCATTTGAATTGACTGTTGTGGGTTGTGGGTGTTCTTTTAAAGATGCTCTTGCTGATTTCATCAAATACAACCTCTCCTTCAGGAATGAAGGGGAGACAGAATATTCTTTTTTCTTATTTTAGCGCTTTTGTTCTTGATATGTCTGGACACAGTACTCCAAATATGTATTGATAAGAACATTGTTGGCAAATCTTAGGATTTTTGGTTTTGTAAGAAAAAATTTAAATGTTACTACAGTTTAACTTCTTATGCTGTCGCTTTTCAAGTGGTAAGGTGGAAGAAGTAACTCTGGACAGATATTTATTCTTTCCACCAGCTGCTAAGAAGCAAAGCATGCTCTGCTTCTTCCACTTCTTGCACACAACGTATATAAATTGCTATTGAAAGACACTAATAATTTATATATTTGATTAATTCAGGGATATGTGCTCAAATTCTTTTAAGTTCTGTAAAAATCAAACAATCTGTTAAAAAAGCCAGCCTTTTTTTCTGTAGCTCTATAACAATGGTCAGTTGGATTTAGTGACAGAGGAGATGCTTTCAGTCCTTTTTTAGCAATGTGTTGGCAGTGATTCTCTTGTCTTAGGAAATCATGCTTAAGATTACATTTAGGATATAGTTTGGAGTTACAGTTTGACTTGAATAAAGAACATTTAGGTTTCAGAGTGTCAAAAAAGTCTCAAACTCTCCAGATTTTGATGCTAAATAGCAAAGAAACCTTTTAAAACCACTTTCTGTGCCATGGAACAGTAACTAAACTAGTTCCAGGAAAACAAGTTTCATGTTGTTCTGAACCTAACCATGACCCAAATCTGATAAGATCAGTTCTTAGAGCTGGAACATCCCTGACATTTGAGCTGCCTAGTTAAAAGCATAATGTTGTGGCCAGTTTTCTACAGCAGTTACATTCTCTTCTTCATGGTTCTACCATAATTGCAGGTTTGATGAGGTATTGTTATGTTGTGGTGAGCTTGTTACCTGATTGCACCATTTCATTTGGGATGCCAGCACAAAGGTTTCTTACAGGCCAAAGTCTGTTAATCTTTACTTACCAGAATTCAAATTTGAACATAGTTTTGTTATATTTGCATTAAGTACTGTTATATTTGACCATTTCTGTATGGTTTACTGCAAAATTAACTTGTGTTCTTAAGGTGCTGAGTACGTGCAAGATCTATATGATCTGCTGTTGAGTACATATGATATAGATGCATCCAAATGCTTTCACTTAAATGAAACTGTAATTATATCAATAAATATACAGCATTCAGTTATGCTTGAGGTGTCACAGAGAATTTAATAACAACTTGTTTTTATGTAAAAGTTTGTCAGTGCTACCTGGGGATATGCCACAAATGTTGTCTTTTTTTCCCTTGCTCTCACTTTCAGAGTGGTGTGCATTTAAAAGCAAGTAGCAGCTTGCTTCCATTTGTTACCAAAATAACATGGTAGGAGCAATCAGTTTCAATTGCCGCTGATAATTATAAGGTGCAATAATTGAGAATATAGAGAAAAGGAGACTGTGAGCTGCATTTGAACTCAGTACTTAAGCAATAAAAAATTTATCAAACTGCAAAAAATAAGTCATTTTAACGAGCACATTCCAAAGGTGCTGGATTTATGAGGAGACCCCAGGAAACTTTGATTGAAATTGCTGTCTCTGATTGTAGTTCTATATTTTATTGGTGCCATATTGTGAACAGTGCTGCTGCCAAAGTGAATGGGAAAGCAGAATAACAGAGAGAGCTAACCCAGAAAGGTTACTTCTTTTCATAATATCCATGATGTATTGCATTAAAAATGCCTTGAAAGCCACCCTATTTGCAGTTTTCAGAAAACATTTTTCTTAAATTAAGTTACGATTTATCTGAACAGGGTAGAAAATATGAAAGCCCCTTGAAGAGTTTAGTATTGATTTTTCTGAGTATTTGCTAGCTCTTGTTTTCTCATTTGTGTGCTCCTTGATAGAAGGGCCTAGAGTTGCTCCCAAGCCAAAGCTTCGGTTGGATGAGAACTGCAGCACTGAAGGGAGGGAATTTGGGGACTAAACTTAAAGTAAGATTTTTAGCTTAAGAACCTTTTAGATTGGCTCTTTAAAGGGTTTTGGCTCTCTGCTTTCTGAATATAGACAATATTTAATTGACATAATAACTAAGATATTGTCGCAATTTTCTAGGGGCAGCCCCCAATTTAAAAAGCAATGCAATAACCGTGTGAGATGAGTGACATAAATATTTTGAAAGTGTGAGCTCAAGGTCGCGTTTTGTGTGTGCCTATTATAATTAAGAGGTATAGGTCTTCAATATTTTTCTTCTAGAATTAAATGAAGGCAAAGGCTTTAAAAATTATTACATGAAAGCACATTTCAAGTGGACAGTGAAATGGACACACACAGTTACTAACTTGTAAGCAAGAATTAGGCACGTTACACAGTTCACTTCTAACCATTCACTGCAGTTCTGTGCCAATTGCCTATTAAAACTTCATCCTCCCTCTGTCAAAATGCTCTGTTACCGTAGCCATAAAACTGTTATACCATAGCTCCCAAATACCTTGTTATAAATGCTGACTGTATCTTTCAATTTATACTGCAGTGAAGTAAGCTTATGAAAATAGTTCTGAGGGATTAAGCTCTAAATACTATTTCTATGCAGTGGATTATTTTTTCCCCAAGCTCAACTTGTTCATGTTGCTTAATGATAAGAAAAGTGTTGTGACAAATGTACTGAAGCTTCGTTGGCTCTTGCACATGTTATCTAGCATGTTTGACTAAGAATTTTGAGAAAAGAATGACAGATATGATTCCAAGATTTGCTCAACTTTGGTCTAGACTGTGTTTTGTAACCATTATTTCACCTTACTTTGCCTCAGTTTATGATTTAGTGAAATTGCAAGTATGTACACAAATGAAATTGCTCATAAAATGCTTTGACAGTTTATGACTTGAAATTCTTTCAGAAGTTATCTTTTGTTATATCAGTGTTGCTGCATTTTTAATTTTTTTTCTTGTATGCCTATAGTTTTAGTAATGAAACAAATTAAATTGAGTGAAGGTTAACGAAAACTCCTCTTACACGTGCTTGAGAACTTGAGAAAACCTCAAGTCCATTGCGAACTTTGGCTTGATTGCCTATACTTTGCAGTAACCTAAAGTTTTCATCTTGATAAAGCTGGTTGCAAAAAACTTCATGATCTCATATGGCTTTTTTCTTTTTTACTTTTTTACCTATGGCATACTTGTGAATTTGGAGACGGTGATTATCCCAAGTGGAGGTTATAGAATCTTTAAGCTATTAAGATTGTACCAATATGGGATATCTTTAAGTCTGTATTATTAGATGAGATTTTGTATTTTAGGATTCTTGCCTGGTCTCTCATGTTTGAGGTGTTTTTCTCTCTCTCTCCAAAGATTCAGCTGTGGGAGAGAGCAATGAACAAGAACTGAAGGGAAGAGACCCAGCTGTTTGGCACGTAGGCTTGAAGGTAGCGTGGGACATCGAGACACCTGGATTAGCAATACCACTTCACCAAGGAGACATCTACTTGATGCTTGGTAATTTTCAAGAGCTAAGAAGTTAAACTTTCTGTTGACAGTAGAGAAAATTACATTTATTTTTAAGTAAGTTATCCCACCTTCCTTTCAGTTAGGGCTCTATTTAGAAAGATGTGAGATCTGGCTAGGGTATATAATAAATTTCTTCTACCCTGCTGACTTCCAGAGTATTTTGGGGAACTTTTTTTATTAGTATTTCTTTCACTTCACATCTAAGAAAGAAATAGGGGTTTTTTTGCCTTTTCTTTCTATTTTTCAGTCAGAATTAGTCGACTAGTCCAAGACAGGCTTCATAACCAGAATTTCCCCATATCTTTTGAGAAGTTGCACTTTATCTGTTCCATCTTTGTATTTCTGGTTACTTTTTGTATTCTTAATGCAGTTTTTCTGAGTAATGGTGAGCATCTGCATCTGTGATGTTCAACAAATAAATTTCTGTTCTTCAGCTTGGCTTATAGAGTGGCTCCTGTATTATGTGAGCTGTCAATGTAGCAGTCTTAAAGTCTTCTAGTACCATGGTTCTTGAAGTTTAATCATTACGCCAATCTGTGGATGCTTTATTAGTCATCAGTTTTACTCCTGACACTTCTGTCCTTCTGCTACACTTTTCCATGCCTATATTCAAACGTGCTGTTTTCTAGTAGTGGGATTATACTAAGATCATAATGAACAGAGCTGCCTTACTCCAAGGGTGAGTCTCAATGTCTCAAGCGTAGAGGATTAAAAGAAGAAAATTAAATTGAGTTAATTTACTTAAGCAGCTGAGCTCACACACTCAGGTTTTTCCACGGAAAGAAATGAAGCTAGAACTGCTCCTAAGGTTAGTTGACACAAAATCTGTTGCTTTTTCTTTTGGGTTGTGTTACTCTTGGTTTTAACTTTTTGTTTCAATGAGTTTGATCATAAATCAAACAAAACAAGAACAAGGCTTTTGACAACATCGCAGGTGCCTGGTTAGTGTCTTGTCTTGACAGATGTCACCTCTGAAGACTGGGAGCACTTGTAGTGTTGCCTGTTTGTGTTTGTGCCTTGGAAGGTAAACTCCCTGGAATGTCCCTAGAATGACCTGTCACTCCCAAGTTGATGAGCAGAACAGTCTTTTCAACTTTACCTTTCACTTTTATCTTTCAACAAAGATGAAAACAGCCATCTTAAAAAATATATAACATTCTGTGTTCTTAGTTACCTCATCAGATCTTGTGCACTGTCATCAGTGAGGTATCTTGTATAAAAGTACTGGACTGACTTTGCCCTTTAAGTGTGTTCAGACATGAGCAGATCAAGTGTAAAAATGTGAGATCCTTTGGCACAGTGGTCTGGATGTGCCTCCCTCTTCTGTATTTGTGAGGATATGAAGTAGCAGCTTAGAGAGAAAGAGTGAAGTGGCAGCTAAGCATTCTTAGAAAAGTTGTTGTTAATCTATTTTTGTGCAATAGCAGCTAAGCCAACAAGTAAACTTCTTATCTTCTCCTTCCTGACTGGAATGTTTGTGCATATACAGCTCTACTGGGCAACAGAATCAGAAGGTGATTAATAAAAGAGGGTATAATTCAGTATTTTGATTGCAGAGTACTGTAGATTGTAGTTGACTGAGTTACCAGATCATAAGGGCGTTTTTTATTCCCCAGTGGAATTTAAATACAGTAACTGAAGGGGATGCTCTATGAATGGTGGCTCAGAAAATTGGTTTATTTAACACATAACATCGTGAGCACGTTTAGATGGAAACAAAGGATATACTTAACATTCCTTTGAAGATGAAGAGCAAATCACTTTCTTATTAATGGTTTGTGAAGAGTCACAGATTTGAGCTCTGTAGGCCAGGTGTTTTGTTAATCTCTTCTGCGTTTCCATAGTCTTTGTATTTCTTTCCAATTACTTGAAAAAAAAAAAAATGACTCTTCTACACAGTCTAAGAGGGTATTCCAGAATGGCCCTTTTATTAGGTTTCTGTGTGCAGCAGAACTGCCTTTATCATTTTCACTTGAAGTGAAAGACAATGTAAGTGGACATATATAGTTTTAGTTTACTTTTTACTGTTCAGAATTTTTTGAAATGACTTCTAAGAGGAGCCACCTTGAGGATGCCATCTAAAAGGCAAAATATGAAAGCTCTGTATAAAAAAAGAAAAATTTTGCAATAAAAAAATTTTTAGATTCCTTTCTCATGTGCATTTGAACACAATATATTCCAGACCCTCGTTTTCAGTAAGCAGAGTCTTCTTGCTGGCATTATTTTAAAAAGCAGTGGCAGCAGTAAGTAAGACATCTAGAAAATAGAACATTAAGAGAATTGCAGCTAGTAGGAGCTGTTGATGTACGGGGGCTGATTGATATATCAGACTGGTAGGATTGGTTCTGACTACCATTAACTCATCCACTCTAACAGAGAACTTAGTAACTCTGTAGGTCTGTTCTTTCAGTTGCTGAAATGGTGCAGTGCTTACTGCTTTATATGGATGCTGTAAAGTGCTGAAACATTGCTTATAATTAAAAGTCGGGTCCTATCAAGTCCTGTACCTGTAATACCCCGAGTATTACACACAAATCTTATATAAAAAAGTGTGGTAATAGTAATTTCCAGTTACAGTAACTTGTAAATCCAGATCAATGGCTATAGCAAAGTAACAAAGAAAAAGGGGTGTATTTTTAGCATTTCTAATAGACATTTAATAATGCTTATGTTCCCTCTTCATTGGCTCTATAAAATGGATTTTGTTATTCTGGGTAGAAATTTAGTAAAATGTCTTAAAATTTAAATTGACACCTGCCTTCTCAGCAGCCCACTTCAGATGAAATCAGGACCTGAAATTTAAATGTATGTTAATACTAAACATGAGGTGACCAAATCCATTCTTTCATTAAGCTGTTACAATAATATAAGGGGAGGTGGAGGGTTTAGGCAAAACCAATCAAAATTCAAAATTACTTTCAGTAAGACAGATTTTTTAAAATCATTTTTTTAAGGCTTTCCTTAATATAAAGAAAAAAAGTCTGGTGAATGGCTGCAAGTCTGCTGCCTAAAAACTCGAATCTGAACTTTATATCACTCATGAAACGGAAACACTTTAGCTCAGTTTAGAATAATATATTGGTCTGCAGAGGAAGTGCATACTGAACCCTGCTGTCTCAAGTACACAGTCAAGGGGTGTCTAATATGAAACGTGTTGGGTGCATGCAATAAATCCAAAACGCGTGGAGGTGAGCAAAGGGCCCCATCTGCTCTGTCCTAGAGCATGCTTAACTAGGGTTGTCATGGTCCTACTATTAAATTGGAATCTTTCTCCTAATCTTTGAGTTAGACATGACCAGATTTGCAAGCAGATTTACAATTTTCACTAATTTTCCTACCATGACTTCAAAACATACCTAGCAAAAATACATTCTGGACTCTTTCAAAGGCAGATTTACTTTTCTGCAGCTGTTTCCCATAGATCAAGTTCTTACTTGAAGGTTAGGGTTTTAAAACAGCATGAAGATGAACTTTGAATCTTATACCACTCCCCACCCCCAGCAAATTATAGTTCGAGAAGTATCAAAAAGTTATTTTCCTAACCAACCAGAAATAGAGTGCACACGTTGCTGGGATTGGCTTGTGGTTGAAGATAAGTATTTAATGGAGGCACTTCCACATGTATATAATGACTCATTAAACTATTTCTAGATATTTAATCTGCTTCTATTTTCACAAACTAACTTGAACCCTGTTTGCTCTCTAGCATCTTGAATGTGTTGGAGTTTTTTACCTCTCCCCCTTCTTTTTTTTTTTTTTTTTTTGAGTCCACATTTAATCCAAATGGTGTATTCCTTACTATTAAGACCTAGAACTCCAGGAATGTATTTGTCGTTACCAAACTTTGATCATGAAGGTTGGCAAATCTCAGACATGTTTTTTTAAATTTTAAAATTTAGTATTTAGCCTTTTAATTAATTGTATTTTGTTTGTGCAAAAAACTAAAAATATTTCTTACTTAGGTAAAGACCATCCCTTTAGCTTTCTGTTACGAGTATTCCACTGACCCATAGTTTCTTAGGGAAGGAGACATACATTCCTGGTGCATTTTATTAATACACCTGCAGTAAAATAAGTTTTGTTAGATTTTCTCCTGTTAAAGCATTGTGTGTAGTTGGATACAAGTAAAATGGAAATGGTGGAAAAGTATTTTAGTGCTTTGAAAATTGCACTGTAATATGGTTAAAAAGAAAATTCTTTATTTGTTAATGGTAGTTAAGAAAACTAATAACAAAAGTCCGTTTTACTTCTGTTTGTAGATATTTGTGGTGGCTAGAATATTAAAACTTTTGCCAGTGCTTTAAACACCACTGTACTTTTTATCTGCTTCGTGAAATAGATGGTAAAAGGCAAATGTCTAAAAAGGTCAGGAAGAACAGTTGAGAGAAGATAGAAAAGACTGTATAAACCCCTGTTGATAATTCTGAGAGCCATTTTCCATTGTGGTTTGTGTTTTTCTGGGAAGTACCTTACATCCAAGTAATAAGTTTTGGGTCTTTAGTCCCCATTCCCTTAAGTAAGGTTTGACTAAGAATTTCTTTTCCTTCTACCTTGTATTTGTTATGACTTAACAGTCTGCAGTGACATGGGTGTACAGTCATTGTTTCTCTCAGAGTGCTTTGGCTCCTCACCTCGCTGGTGCTCTGATTATGAGTTAAGTAGTAGAGTGGGTTAACTGTATATATGTCATTTGAATGTACAGACATATCCATTAGTCTGTTCTTTTGATAAGGGCTGTGTAAGCACAGTGCTTTCAGTGTTTCTGCTGGTGGAGCCCAGGAAATTCAGCTGTCTAGAAGAAAGTGGAGGTGTGGACAGAGCAGGGGCAGGGACTGAGAGCAGTATTGGAGAGAAAAGGAACTGGCAGTGTTTTGAAGCAGCAGAGAGGACTGTGCCGAGGCTCTGTTCTGGGAGGGACATATTTGAGAAAAAAAACTCGCTGGCAGATGTCAGTGCAGGGGAGGGAGAGACAGATCTATAACATGAACCTGCGTCCACAATTTAAAATAGAGCATGCAGCATCCAAATTCCAAAATTTATCTGCTATCTCTAAATGGCAGTAAAATCACTGAGAATTTTGGCTGGTAAGGGGGCCCCACACAGACAATCATACTCTGCATCCAATAGTAGAGGGGTGGTCAGGTGTTAAATCTATGGCATTAGATTTAGCTGTAAGCCTGCTTCCTGCACAGAATTTCCATGCAAATTTTGGTAAGTCCCTTAACCTCTACTTACCCTTAGGGTTTTTTGTGTTAGTTCCCAACTTTACAGGGGCCTTAAAAATAGAAAAATAGCGTTCTAGCATATATTGGACTTTATTAGTTTTTCTTGATTGTACTCTAGAATTACTGTTTTAAATTAGGAAAATTCATATTGTTTTAAAATTTATAAACGTTCAAAAAGCCTAATGAGACTTTAGAAAAATATTCTGTGCAAGTGACAGCATTTTTCATAGCCGTGGGAAAGCTTTGGGAGAGGAACACTCATATAAGCAGAAAATTGTAGTCCACTTCTCAAAACTTCTTTCTTATCTAGCAGTTATTAATTGGCATATGCATCTTTTAAGCATGCATGTGGAATTCTTTTAGAAGGAGAAAGGATTGTGAGACAGTTCTTGAAACTATTAAACACATTGCTAAGTTGGCGTTAATGGTAATTTGAAACAGTAAGTCACTTCTCATAGGCATTATAGAGTTCAAATAAGTTTTGTGAGGTTTTGTTTCTGTTATTAAAATAGATATTAAAATGCCTGCCACAGTTGTCCAGAACTGGTGGCAAGGTAAGGGCCCACTGTTTTGTGACAGGAAAGACCATGCTGGCTCTGATCTCACCGCAAATTCAGGGGAACTGTCCAACAGACAACTGGCCTGCCTGCAGTTTTCCAAAGCAGGATGGGTAGATATACGTCTGCTTTCATATACATGTACTTTTTGTGATGCATTATGCTCAAGAGGCAGTGTTCTGGTTTTCCAGACCTCGTCAGTCAGTGCTTAGTCCTTTAAAAGTAATGTTGCCTCCACGTGTGTTGTATTTTACCGAACCCACCAGAGCGCTGTGGCAGTTCAGACATGGGTGACCGAGGAATGGAACAGCTTTGGTTTGGCTCTAAAACCAAAATAGCAATCTGGGTATACTGTTCTGTTTCTGAATAAAAGCTTTTACTGCCAAATGGACAATGGCTAATTTAACAAAGAGTGGTTTTTCTTCTCAGTTAATATACATTGAGTAGAAAAAGAAAGCAAATCTTTACCGTAATCTTTTAAGACATAAAATGTATTTTTTAATGTGCTTTGAGGCGTGCAATCCGTGAAGCTTCAACTATTTTTGCACAATTAGAGTTTTAGATGAATTATAAACTCTTAAATTAAAATTACAGGCTTCTTTCTAAGATTCATAAAGGATTAGAGGCAATTGGAAGCCATTCCAAGGCAGAACTCTACAATGAAAGATTTGCCAAGGTTTTGAATAAAGGTGCAAATCAAAATGTAATATGTCTAATTCTGTGTTAGCTAAATAAAACATGCCACACTGAATGGGCACTGAAAGGGGTAGTGAAAGTGTTTAGGAAGATGTGACTGAGTTATCTAAGCACTGGAGAAAAAAGTAGTGTACTTAATTCATATTCAACCAGATTAACTTTTATTAAGTATAATTTTTTCCTGTACTTAAGGTTTTCTAATCTGTCCCTAGATGATCTCAATATGACACATCAGCACTGTGTTCTGGCTGGTTTGTCACCTCGATTCAGCTCAACTCATCGAGTGGCAGATGTAAGTATCAAAAATGTTTTGCTGTTTGGTCCTTTGTAAAACTAATGTTCTGGTACCTTATATGTAACATCATGGTGTGTTATCCGGTTTTGTGGTTCATGTTATGCTTATGACTGAAATTGTTTTCTTGAACAACTACTTTTTGATTATTTTTGTACTGAGGCCCATTTGCTTCTGTACTGGTGGTTTGCCTAAACTCCGAGGTAGACATGTCAGATATGAATTCAGAAAGTGCTACATCACAGCTTGTGGATTGCTGATGAAATATGCTTTTTACCTGAAATGTTCTGCAGCTGTTTTGCTGTGTTCATACCCCAGTCTTAGTTGAAAGGTGATATTCATGATGAGATAGAAATACTCAAAACACAAATCAGAGTGTCCACTGGCAGAAAAAAAGGCCTTTAGGAGATCAGAACAACCAAGACTAAGCCCAACTATGCTTTAAATTGTGTCCTTCTCTGCATTTGAGGATTGAATAAACAGAAAAGCTATTGAGTCCCTTGTCTAGGAATCACTGTGTGACAACAAGGCTTCAGCCTGATACTCTCAAGTGTTAAGGCTCCTTTTTCTGTTTGTTTTGGGGTTTGAATTTTTTTTTCCTGCTAGACCTTTCCCTTATTCCTTTCCATAGTGTTATCAGTAGTTCTTTTTCATGTAGTATTCCTGTGGGAAAGCATAGAGAAAAATACTGATCAGCTATTTAATTGAAAATAATTAAAATATGTACTTCGTCTTTCTTTTGTTTCAAACAGATTTTTACAGATTTCCCTCTAATTTTGAAGGAAATATAGTGAAAACAAAACCAAAAGAAGTGCAAAATTGTTTTATTCATATTTATTCTCTCTAGCTTGTAAGCAAACAGCTCTGTCAGACTGGAAATGGAATTTCATTTTAGTATTAGTAGAAGCCCATACAACTGAGCAAATACAGCTGATTGTGAAATACTGTCAGAAGGTGGCCAGGAAGCAATGGGAAGTATGGCATGCTTTTATGTGCTATAATTGTAAAGTAAATTTTGAGTGAATTATTTTCTTTCTCCTTTCAGTCTATGCTGTACTGGTTGGCAGATGTTTGATGGATTAGACTTCAGCGTAGTTTATATCAATAACTATATAGACAATTCAGGAAGCTTTACACTTTTGATTAAAGTTACTGTTCTACTTTGGTTATTTCAGAAGCAAATTTTTCAATATATTTGATAAGTACATATTTTCTGAAGTGGATATATATACTTTTTTGTTGTCTCTTTATAGTGTTCTAGAGGAACATTGGAATACATATTTGGACAATGTGAACTGGCACTCCAGAATTTACAGACTGATTCTGATTCCATGGCTTTATCTTTGAAATCACTGGAAGCTGCAGTTGTGAAGCGAGTAGAAGAAATACATAATGAGGTGAGATGATCTGCACTGAAAATACTTCAGCCAGGCCTGAGTGGTGCAGTCTCTTCATGGAGTTAATGACAGTCGTGTTCAGCTGCTTACATTGCTTTATGCAAGTTTGCAGTGTGGATTTTAAGGCTTTTTTACTTGGGTACAATAATGGGGATTGTCCTAGAAGTTTTCATTTTTCTTTCTTAAGATCCCTCTGCTGGTAAAGTAAGAGAAGTTTCATAAAATATTACACTGAATCTGGCAGGGTGGTGGACAGACAAAGTGCTCTTGTGCTTCTCTAACTGAAAAGAAGAGAGAAGAAATTAGAGGGAAAGAGCAAGTAACATTTTCCTGCAGTTTCTCCCTGATTCCTGTTGAACCAGCTTTTGGCCGAAGTTCCGAGTGTGGGACTAAAGTGTGTTCTGAAAAAAATACGTTGGAAACCATTGTGGGGAACATATTTAAGAGGGTCATTTAGTGCTACAATATATGCAGGTGTAACAATGCCCTTTGACAGGATTGCACTGAGGCTGGCAGTGCTTTCTTGCTTGAAGCTGTGATGTATTTCTATTAAGATAAATACAATCCCTATTAGAATCCGTACGTGGGTCATTTTCACTAAAATTAGAATTTGTGTGAGGTGTTTAAATTGCTTTCTGCTGAGGAATTCTCATTCTGTAGTGTTACTAAAACTCTGTAGAACACATTTTTATCTATATTGTGTTTACAGTTGATAAAATGGAGTATACTGTTGGCAAAAGATTTGCACCCTTGACTTTTACCAAAACAGCTCCTAGGGCAATTTTAAAAAGTCTGATGCATAGAGAGGTTTACAAAACATTAATCAGGCTCAGTCCATAAAACTGCACGCATATGTGGTTTGCGCAGCAAGGGCCACATGCACAGCTGGTGTAAATTTGCACGGGTCCTTTAACATCAAAGCCATGTGCTGTTTACATCAGGTGAGAGACTAGCCCCTGGTGTTTGCAGTCACCTGAATAATTTTGCTGTGTGACATACAGGGATGTTTCCTGTTACACATGTGGGATATACTGTAACAGCAATCTTTGTTTAACTTGTACATATTGTGCACTTAGACTTAGTAGACACACTGGATCTATATTTTATTTGAAAAGAGAATGCTCACCTATTTTTTTCTATTTCTTTTTATTATTTTATCCCAAGGTCACCTCTTTAATTGAAGGGTAAATTCTGTATGTTAGAGTACCACTTAAATTTCATTTTTTACTGCAAAAGTACACAAAAGTTTTAGTGGCTTATCTCTGGTAAAGCACATTTCTTTTTAAAACATTACTGAAGTGAAAACATGCAGACCTGTGAAGCTCATGGAACTTTTCTTATGTTTAAAGTCTTCCTAACTTCTTTTGTTCTGTGTGAAAAATTTTTGTCTTTTCAGGCACAGATTTTAGGTTCCAACTTTCTCATGCAGGTGAAAAACAAGAACTTGTTTTGTTTCTTTGAGGAATCAAACTGCTTACTGATAAAAATGAGGCTTGCATTTCACTCCCTCAATTTTTTAATAGTTTTTAATGCAAAATCAAAATAGCACAAAAAGCCAAACATAGCATTAATGGGAAACTACCACCAAATATCCCAATCTTGCCTGTGTATTTCTGGTATACAGCTTTCTGTGCTAGTTCTAAACCTCCTTGTGACTTTTTTTTCTTCCCCTGAACCAGAAATCATGATCTTGAAATAAGAGTATTCCCATCTCTAAAGGTGGTGATCCTGATGTATTTTATTTTCAAGTGTTGTCATAACTGAAGTTCTTCAGTTGAACTCTGATAACTAGATGCAGCCACTGTTATTGATTCTTTATCTTCTTGAAATGCTATGGGTTCATTTATTTTTACCCCTCTTGCTGGTACATCCAAAGTCATCAGAGAACATTAACCAGAGCAGAACCATCACCGAACCAAGCTAAAATATAGTAGTTTAGCAGAGATTCACAGTCTGTGCTGAAATTAACTGCTCTGCCAAATGAGGCCTGGATGAATTATCAGTTGTACTAGAGGGAAAAAGCCTATGAGCAAGACTCAAAGAATGAGGTATGATTCTGTGCCTTCACTTTTGTACTCCTGGGCAGGAAAATTGACTTACTGTGCTGATAAAGTGCATTTGAACTGAGGATCTGAGGCACAGGTGGAGACTTACAGGTTTTTTTCCACTTTCATGGTGGGCAGAGAAACCTCTAAAAGAAGTATGGGTGAGTATCTAGGGGATGTCCTTACTTGATATTAGATTTCCCAGAGTTCATTTGTCAGGGCTCTGTCTTGGATGTCTTGAGATGTCTTCCTATTGAAAAAGCAGGATTCTAACCTGAGGAGGTTTTTAGCATCTCTAGTGGGCAGCCAGGTGGAAGTTTAATATTTTTTTAGACCTAGCTTTGTTGTCATGGTCTCCCTCAGTAAAACAGCCTTCAAAGGAATATCTGAGTAATTGCAAGGTTAGTGCTGTTTGTTAGATGTGTGAGTCACTTTGCTCCCAGTATGCACTTTGTAGTTGTAAGTGAAGATAGCCTTAATTAAGGGTGTTCACGTGCTGCTTGTCTGAGTAGCTTGTGGGCTTGCAGTCTGAACAAACAGTTCAGTGGCAGGAGTGCAGCAGAGTGAACAGATGTAGTTACCTTACAGCTGTGGAGTTCAATAGCCTAACAACTCACACCCAGTCACAATCACATCGCTGTTTGGCCAGTAATAATTTATCCCAAAAGAAGTGGTCTTGCAGAATTCCCTGAACAGGAACCTCTTGCTCCTACTGAATCACACTTGGCTTTCCAAAATACATACAGCTGCTGAGTACACCCCAAACAGAGCTACAGGATACCTTGGGAAAACCACTGGCAATTGCTTTTTAGAATAACAGAACACTGCTGAACAGGTGATGTAAATGCTCATACCTAAAAAGAAATCTGCAAATAAAAGATCTTCACCCTGCTATTCTTCACATTTCAAAGAGATTTTGCTTTTCTTGCTCTGACTAATGCAAAATCTGCTAATAGTTCATGTTTGTGTGAGGTACTTTCAAGGCTTCTTTATTTGCCAGCACCAAACTAATGATTGGATACTCTCAGTGAAGTAAAACACTAGAGGAATTTTTTTTTAGTGTCTGGGTATTGTGCTAAAAATATGGCAGTTTGTTGTCTTTTTTATATTGTGATTTTAGCAAATGATTTTAGCAAATCTAAGTATTTATGCTTGCATATATCTAAAACAAGGATAGAGAAATCACGTCACCCTTGCCTCAGCAAGATGGTTTTCTTTCTCAGAATCAACAGTTACCTGCTCAGAGGAGATAGTTCAGTGCAGTCACATGTCAAGCAGCTTCATGGCCAAGGTGGTGGGTGAAACACTGTTTTCCTCCCCAAACCTCATTTTATTAACTCAGACTAGAGCTAAACAGGGATGCTGTGAGATGAATATGGACCTGAGTTTGAAAGCTATGTTAGATGTCAGTCCACATCATTAAACAGCTGCTTTTGCAGTTAGGTTCACAGACCTCTGACGAGACCAGCTAATCCTGCAGAAAATGAATTAGCTTGTTGCTAAACTTTCTGTCTTACACCTAAAAAGCAGCTCTCCTGTGTCAAATTGTATATTTTGTATAGGATCAAGATACATTTAAATTTTGGCCCATATGCCAGACTTGAATTAGACTGAAATTGCATAGATTAATGCAACAAATCAATATGACTAGTCAGAAATCAGATAGACTGAAATAGATTCATGATGAATCATATTTTAACATCGATTTTAATAAAAAGGTTTTTTTTCATTGATTAATGGCCTTGTGATTAATTTCATGAAACCTCTTTGCCAGACATTAGAGGCCAAAAAACTCAAAAAGAAGTGGGGAGAGGAAAAAAAATTACTGAGTTTTTAAAATTCCAGTTAAATAATTATATGCTGGGCCTTCCCAAAACAGAATTTTATTTCTTTTTTTACAAACCATAACTTGGTCCTTCATACCTCATTAATATTGTAGAGGAAGCAAGGTTTCCTTCAGCGTTTTTAGGAAGGATGTCATCAAACTTCTCTGCTAAAGAGTCACTGGCTAACAGTCAGTTTTTTAAAAAAACATTCTAAGCTCTGTGTCTGCCAACTAATCATGTTATATTTTATCAACAAATTTGCCTTAAGTTATTTTTATACACTGGAAATTTAAGCATCTTTTATTGAAAACTTTAATATATTGACCAAACCTTTAGTTAATGTTAAGTGGAACACTTTCAGATTTCTGTAGCTGTTTCCCTGCAGGAAGGGAAGTCTTAGGTGACAGGTTTGGGCAGTTTTCTTTATTCCTTCACCTTGGTAAGTTGTCTTTATTTGCACCTTTGGAATTGAGCAGGGATGAACAGATGTCCTTTGTGGTACAAATAATGATTAAAGCATCTTTGAACTTAGTGTGAAACATAAATACCACAACAAAGATAAATATGGAATTCTAGAGGCCAGAACTACAGAACACTGTTAAAGAAAACCATCTTCTCTGGTAAATGGGCTGTTTGGTAAAGGATGAGAGACTGTGATTCCTTGTAGTGCCACCTTCTTGTTCCATAGCAATTGACTGGGCTGCATTCTAGCAATACAAGTTTTATTACTGCAAGTTTTTTCAGTCTTTTATGAGGGAAACATTTTGAAACACCCAATATTAATCACAGTGACCTGGAGTTGGTACCTATTTGACTGAATTGTGAGGAAACCTGAATGTTCGTTGTACATGTACCACATGTGAAAACAAAAAATAGTTGGCTTTTGCAGCTTCATGGTTTTGAAGAGAGTAGCTCAGGTCACAAATTGGCGTGGAATAGAAGTAAAACAGCTGGGTGTAAGGATGTGTTTGGAAATGAGTACTTTGGTGACTGTTTCCTTTTCTGTGGGATTGTTCAGGTATAGCTGGATTCTTGCACTACCCCATTCCTGCCCCAGATAATGAACACAGGTGTTTATGCTGTCATATGTTTTTATCTTGCAGGTTGAATTTGAGTGGCTTAGGCAGTTTTGGTTCCAAGGCAAGAGGTATTTGAAGTGCACTGATTGGTGGCTTAAACCTATGGCTAAATTGGAAGAATTTTGGAGAAAAATGGAGATTATGGTAAGTAGTTTTAAAGTCTAAAGCCTCTAGGGCTTAATTCTGAGAGCACTCACAATTATGTTTTTAATTGTACTGTAGTAATGGGTTTTAAACTTTATTCAGAACATATGAGAAACAGAATCACTGTCAGCCTTATACTGTCTCCTCTTACTTTTATCCCCCAGTAGCCAGAAAAAATGTGAACAAAATCAGATCCAAACCCCCAAGATTTTAGTTATTTCCTGACTTTGCTTGTTTTTAAGGTTTGACAGTCTCATAAGCTGACAGTCATATATTACATCACACAAATTGGTACATGAAGCTGCATTGTCCACTTTTTCGTGTGACACCCAGATAGACAACTCTGCCAATGACAACAATGGCAAATACATGAGAGGAAAGTTGAGAACAGAACTGGTCATCTGGAGGTCTATACCTGCACACTTACACCACAGCTAGAACCAACAAGAGGAGAGTAGTTTCAAGGATAATTGTAATAATGGTTCCTGAGTACTTGAATGTACATTCTGCTTTCCTTGAACATGGACTCGGTGCCAACACTGTTTGCTGCTGCTGTCCAAGTAGAGATTCAGTTGGGTTACTGTCCTGTCATTTTGGGAGCAGTTGTCTGCTGCTGGGTTTGTACTCAGAAGGAACTATAGGGGTAAATGTCTCCTGATCATCTCCATATTTCTGTCAAGAATTGCTTCTTGATCACTTCTGGTCACAACATAAAGGCTCAATTTGCCTATAATGGACTTGGAAAAGTTTGTAGTATTGCTGAGGATGCTGAACAGGGATGTGTTTTGAATCTCTGGAGATGTGGTGCAACAAGAATATAATCTTGAGTCCCGAGGGAAATGTTGTGACTCACTAAGCTGCTCAAATGTATTGTAAGCTTCTCCAGCGATGGCATGTTCCAGATGTGGAAAAATGTCTGGAAAAGTGGAATTTTCAGTAGTGCAATCAGTTGTCACAGGGAATCAGTGAACACTGAATTTTTCTACAAAAGGAGAAAAAGTATTTATAACTTGTTTATATGGGTTTTTTTCCCCCTCATGTTTGTGTTCTGTTGTGCTCACAGTCTTGAATGACCTTTCTTATTTAAAAAAATCTTTCGGTTTGTTTTTCTTTCAAATGACAGCTTACTCACTTGTAACACAGGCTTAGATGAGGTAGAGACAAGAATGTTTGATATTTTGTATGCATTGTGTGTTGAGAACATGGAAAACCAGCAAACTCTGGAGCTCTCAAGGGTTAGGTTTTCTGCAGTCGGTGTGACATTGCCAGGTGTCTCTAATTAGAAACATGGTGGCGTCAGTGTATCTCCTTTCAACAGGCCTCAGGATGATATTTATCAGCAAACTGAAGGTTGGGCCAAAACAGAAGCTGCTTCTAATTTAACTTTTAAAAATTGCTTTAATGTTTTATGACTTATAACATATTACTCACAATTAATTTTAGCTATTGAAGGAGACAGAAGAGAATGCTAATTGAGAATGTCTGTTTTGTTGAGTCTCTAAGTAAATGTGATGCTTACTGTATCTGGGACTTGGAAGTGTGGTGGGGTTTTTTTTTTGATTTAGCCTACATTTTGTCCTGTGGTGTTCCACAAGGTGACAGTAGGGGACAATGTTGAGCTGCAGTTTCAGTGCAGCAGCAGGAACGACCTGAATAAAAATACATCGAAATGTGGCATTAACATCAAGAATTATCCCTGTTGCTTCAAGTTAGCTGTAATCTCTAAGATTCCATAACACAGGAAATCAATTGCGGGTTAACAAATTCAACAGCAATTTAACATAAAAAGTGCAGTGTTTTGGTGCATGCTTAGCTTCCACAGCTAAGTTAAATCAAAAGGGTATTTTTGAAGGTACCCAGTAGTCTGCAGCTGATGTGGTTTTTTCCAAATTTATAATTTTAGCTGAATGATTGTCAAAAAAGAAAAAAAAAAGAATTATCTAAAATGCTAAAAGTAAAAATGTCTTAGAATTGTTGATCTAGTTTTGGAAGAAGTTTGCTGGTTAAAAGGAATTATTTCTTAAAAGAAAATATTTAAGCACTGTGTTTTTCTTTTGTGTGTGAGCTGAACAGTTCTTCACTTAGTTTTCTTATATGTGTGTCTACAGTGATACAAATTCAGACTTGGGGTCCCAGTGTGCCTTTTTTTTTATTTTTCCCTGTTGTTTAGTAGAGCAGCTATAAAGAAGGAAAGAAAGTTTCTGAAATTATCCCTGATGCTGTTAATTGTAATTACTCCTCTGTCACATCAGAATATGATATTGCAGGAAGTTTAGCCCAGTGTTTTCAGACCTGTGGCCTTTAATATTTTTGTACATTATAGCAAGCACACAATTTTATCATAATGTTTATTCCTGGCATTTCTTTCCCTGAGGATAGTTTTACTTAGAGCTCACTCTTGTGATGTAAATGTTAAACCTTTCATTTGAATGACATTCTGATAAAACATCACATTTCCCACAATATTACCTCATGAATTTATGAGCCATTAAATCCAAAGCAGTTTAACCAATCTCCTCTTTTTTTCCCCCCCCCTCCCTTGAAAATATGAAGGCTATTCATATGTTTGAGAGGTTTTTTTTAAAAGTCATCCAAGATTAACACGTTATCACCTGCAACATCAGGATAAATGCTCACTGAATTCAAAGGGAGAGTTACCATTTGAAAAAAAGACCGTACAAGCTTTGCTTTCTGGGTAAAGAGAAGTCTGAAAAGCTGAAATCTCATGTGAGGTGAGCAAGTCTTGCTGTAGCTGTTCTGAGATTCAGTGGAGAGACAATTTGTCTCTCAGGGTCTGATATCATGCAAACCTTGCAATCTGACATTTATTTTAGCTATGAAAATCTTTAACCACCATACCAAATCCGTAAGAACTGCAGAAATCCTGCAGTCTTTTTGTTTGTTTATTTTGTTTTAGGTTGATTCATGTTAGAAAAGTAAAATGTAAATCAGTGAAATGTTTTTTGAAATGTTTTTTGTTTGTGAAATGATAAGTAAACATACATGGTTACACTTACATATTGAATTTTTAAAGGCTTTTTTAAACATATCTAGTGTTCCTTAAAAAAAAAAAAAAAAGGACCTTTGCAGTGCTATATGGTGTGAATTGTATTTTCTGCTTTGACAGTCCATTTAGCAATGTAGCAATGTATTTATATGGCAGTTGGCCTTAATAACCTTTATTGACTTTAGTGGGTAAGAGCCAAGACTGGCATTATTAAAATGTATCAGTTTCATTGCAGTATAAAATCACAACATATATAATTATGCTAGGTAGGCTAGGCTCCATTTAATCCCACCTATTTATGCAGGAATTTGGCAAGACAAAAAAAACTGTAGAACTGAAATGCTGAGAAAAGCGCTAGGGATTTTGAGTTACACGTAACAGCACAACTGTTTGCCTGCAGTAGAAGGTCTACTTAAAGGAATGAAACATAGATCTCAGGGTAGTGATTTCTTAATGGTATAACTGAAACACAAGTAATTGTTACACCATTTGTTTCACTTTTCGGCATCTTAAAATAGAGCTGATGATAATGAAATGCAGCACACCTTTTAATTTGTAAATGTAGTGTAAAAGCAGAAGCATTTACACTCTACGTAGTCGTAATGAACAAGGTGGCATTTTATGCAAACTGGTATCTTTCTGCACAGCTTTCACCTTGGTTTGTAAAACTTTTTTAAGAACTCTATTTAGTCATGTTATTATTACTGTTGTTCTCAACAACATGCTTTTATCAGTTTATACAACTGAATTGAAATCAGAGAGCAAGGCCGTTTTCTTGTGAAAGTATTTTTCTTTCCTTTTTGAGTTCTATTTCATTATTTGCTACTGTTGCTGCATATGAAGTATGTCATAGTTTCAGCTGTAAGCCACTATTGTCAGGGGCTTACAGCCTGACAGTTAGAATTGAGTCTAGGCTGAAACTTGAGCTACGAAATCTCAACCCAGAGCCATTTTTTTTTTTTCCAATTTAAAGCAAGGGTTTAAATATGTATTTAAATCAAAAGTATTTCAGTTCCCAGATAACCATGAAAAGCTTTAAGACAAAATATGCTTTTACAAGGAATTCTCCCAGCTTTTGTAGACTTTGGCACTTTAAACAACTAACCAATTATTTTTAAAAAAATAGATAATGGGATCACAAACAGGCTGGTTGGTTGTTTAGCTTCTTTCAGAAAATGCATAGCAACTTAACTGACATTTCAATTGGTTTAACCTTGTCAGCCAAAATTCAAGGAACTCTGACGTATTATTTTAATTTGTCTTTCAGTTTTCCCATTGTACTTAGATATTGCAGTGTCACACTTTATTGGAGGGCCATGTGGCGATGGGTGATCGTATTTGCCTAATGAACTGTGAAATGTAGGTACAACATGGCAGCTCAAAGACCCAAATTTTAGCCATATTTCTTGTCTTTTGGGGCTCTCCTTATCTGTTTAGGCCAGACACTTTAAATAAATGTATTTTTGGCAGGTTATATTTTACGTACACTGGGAGTCAGATGTTTCTGGAAATGTACCTTTTGTCTTAAACAACAACAACAAAACCTGATCCCGAAGACTTATTTTTTCCTTTTTTTCTTTTTCTGGCACTAATTTCCTTGACCCCAATATTTTTAGCTGTCACAAATATGGGAAAGGATTCGGCATTGTCTGTAGTGGAATCACTAACAATCTGTAAAAAGAAAAAAAAGTTGTATTGCACATCTTTCAGAAAAAAATTATTTACAATTCTGAGGGAATTCAGGCTTAAGCTTCCAAAATAACGTGTGTGCTGAAAGCACAAAAGACTGTGTTTATGATTCTCTTTGAAGTGTTTCTGCAACAGGATAAGGAAAATTTTAGAAACTGTCTGATAGTGTTCAGGGTAAATACTTAAACCCCTTTAGAGAATTTCACACACAGATACTGTGCAGCAGAAAAAAGGATACTTATGTTTCCTAAAGCTGCTACAGCCTACAGCTTTGTACTTAAAGACAGAGGTGTTGAATAGAATT